AGTAGTCTCAATTCTTGGAGATCCAGAACGATTTTCAGATGCTACTGTCTCAATATTAGAATCAGGTACAGATGAGGTAACTTCAGTGTGTTTTCTTTTGAAAAATCCATCAATTTTAGGTTGTTTCTTCATCTACAAACCAATTACAAATTTTATTAAGAACATGATTCATAACTTATACCCAAAAAAAAAAATTCATATTCTATGCATAGAACATATAAGATACGAAACATATAACTATAACAATGAAAACTTCAATTTTCACTCATATAAACATATACAAAAATATTCTCATAAAAAGTAAATAAACAAAGGAAAAAAAACTATGACCATGTAAAGTTATCTAACCTGGAATTAAAATTTTTGACACAGGAGGTTGGAGAGCAAACAACGAAATTCAATTATTTTCTTTTGTTGTGTGCGGCTGCTTCGAACTAAGTTCATGTTGCTTCATATAGGAACAAAAATTAAAATCCCAATCCTTTTTTATTTAGGTAAAAGTCTACTTCCTATTTGATAAAGGAAATTCTGTGAAACTTTATTTGATTGGCTGCTTTTATTTTTTTATTAATATATTGATGGGACATTTAAAAAACCAAAGCTGGCGTGTGGATTCACAACCTTCAGTCAAGTGGTGAATTATATATGCTTAATTTGGAAAGAGAAACACATCTTGAGGGGGCCACAAGCAAAATTATAATATATAATTCCTAAAATCTGTAGGAATAGAAGACCAAACATAAAATATTATAAAACTTTTGGGGGGGCCCAGGCCCCTTCAGACCTTCACATACCTCCGCCACTGAAGGTAGGTAAGGCGTAAGTGAACAAACAATTCAACAACGATGATAAGAACCAACTCACCATATGCATGAGAGTATACAAGAGGCTTCTAGAAGACCTTTAATTGGATCATGTTACATGAAGTGGGGGTGGAGGGTTTTACTCCTCTTTCTCATGTGCCAAGAAATCATTTCTCATGCATGAACTTACCAAACATAGGAAATCATCAAATGATTTCAATTTCCAATCTCATTTTCCTATAAGCTAAACACACCCTTACACTGCCCTTTTAGTTAATCGCAGTGCAACTGAACATACTGTTGATTACCTTTGTTTTTGTTTTTTTTTCTTTTTGGTGAAACTCTTTATTCATTTTTTTGGTGAGTAGAAAATTGTTAATTAGTTGTACTGATGACTAAACAATCGATTAGATGTATTATTATTTTTTGATACAAGCAATAATCTAAATTATTCTAAATTAATGTAATCTGGAGATAAATAATTTGAACTTCATGCAAGGGGGTGGACTCATTGCTCTCACATCAGTATTACTATTTTACTTGTTGAAATAATATCTCCATATCTCTAATATGCATGGACTCACTGCCACGTACAGCCCCGTGGCGGGGACATATAATAAGGGAGCTGATTTTCTCACTCCCCTTTTCTCCACTTACACTCCTTTTTGCTTTTTAATAATTTTTAATCAATATTGTTATTTTCTGTTATTTATCTTTCCTATTCTACTATTACCCTACATTAAGGAATTCATAACTGAAATTAAGAAAAGTTAAGAAAAAATAAAAATAAATTTTGTAAATGGATAGAAATGTAAGTATTTGTAAGCTAAATTCTTTAATTTTTTTTAACCAAGTACTGCTTATCTTTGTTGTAGTTAATAGATAATAAATTTTATGGGCTAACATGTTTACTGGTAGAGGACCTAAAGAATGTTGCTAACCAAACTGTCATTAAGAGCTTAGATATGCAGAGAGCAAGGTATGCATAATAGTCTCAGATTTGTATTCTTTTAAAATATTAGTAAGTGATTGTACATGTCTTTTTATTAAAGGGAATTGTTGAGTAAGGGTAGAATAGGAAATAGAAATAACAAAAAAGAATAAAATTAATTAAAAAGTATTAAAGAGCAAAAGGGAGTGTAAGTGGAGAAAAAAGGAGTGGGAAAATCACCTCCCTATAATAATTGTATGAAGTAAGGAAAACTGTTTGGTTTAATAGGCTTTGCCCAATTGCACAAAACGTGTAACACGCGCAAGTTTTCACACATCATAAATGATATTTGTTTTCTCAAATAGTGAAATTGATTGGAATGAATATGTAGCTTAAGTGGTTTAGAATAGTTATTCATGCACTTGAAGTTCTATGTACAAATCCTCCTCTTCCAATATTACTTGTATTAAAAAAATTGTAACGAATGTTCTTTTTAATGTTGCAGTTTGGGTTTAGAAGTATCACTAGGCTCCAACACATATATTTTTAACCTTATTTGAAGTGCATCAGTCTTGTGGGAATTTTTTATCTCAGTATAACAAAAGGTATTTCACAATCAAACTTAGAGTTTGTGAAAGAAATATACATCTAATGCTTAGGAAATGAACTTTAGCCACAACCTATACAACAAAAACATTCTAAATGGCGGATTCATTTTGTTTATACTAGTTGAGCTAAACCTTTTTCATTTTAAACCAAGTATCTTAGACTAGTCTTTTTGAACACAAATAGAAAAGGGAAAAAGGGAATAAATCTTTACCCTTGATAACCGTTTCTTGATTTCTCAAGAATGAACACCTTTGTTGGAAAGACCTTTTCTTTCTCTTGATTTTGACTCCTTCACCTTAAGGCTCCAAGATTGGAGTAATCTACCTCATCACACCAAATGCTCCTAGAGATGAAGAGAAGGCAATTAAGAAGTATGGATGCTAGTCTACTTCTTGATTAGACCAATTTTTGGTTTATGGAAGATGAGATACAAAGATGATCACTCATCAACCAAAGTAGGAAACCAAAAACCC